TGGTTGATTCCGCAGCACGGGGAAAACCCAAGAGTCGGCTGGAGTGCAGCAGCTGTGCTGGAGACCTACCAGATCCACCAGTTAAACTGGGGCAGAAGGAGATGTGCTGCATCCCCAATCCTGCGCGTTGCTGGTGCTTTTGCAGCCAAGACCAGGTAAAGGAGACCATGGGACAAGAGGCTTTCTCTCTTCAGCAGAGCAGCAGGATCTCGACAAGATGGGAAATGGGTCCTGCCCAACAGTGACCATCCCAGTGGAGCCTTGGCAGGGAGCACGGAGGACATGAAACCTCCATCACAAAGCAGCATGGCCATGCCTGAGCCCCCCACATGCCTGTCACCTCCCTGGACCCCGTGTTTAACTTGCTGATCATTAGCAGAAATAAATGAACAGTACTGAATTAAATATTTAATCAGACTTAAATTCGCACAAAGCAACAAACCTCCCCCCAAAACCTACAGAGAAAGGGAGCTGGTACTGACAGCCTGATGCTCGCTGCGGATTAGCGTGTGCGTGAGCAAGTGCTATTTCCTTCCCGTCACTTGCAATAGCTAATGTTACACTCTGAGTAAAGAGACAAATAAAAGCAAACCTGATTAAATTATATGAAGCTTACACAACTGTAGTTGCTTTATTTAATCTCTTTTGGGGATTTTTTTTTTCTCCTTTGCAACTTTAACCCCTTGTTTCCCAGGCCAGGCTGAGCTGGAGTGCTCTCTCAAGCAAGATGTTTTGAATTAGGAGCTAGAAGCGGACGAACTCCCACTCAGCCTGCCACAGCCACTGCAAAATTTCTCCTCTGGTGCTCTTTTTGATACCCTTTCCACCCCTCTCTCTTTAGGGAAAATCCTTAAGAGCAAGAGCAGAGGTGAGAGGAGAGCCAGGAGTTCGCACAGACAGGAAGGGCTGCGCCCTAGGGAGGGCTACGCTCACGCCTGCTGCGGCTCTGAGCATCCGGAAACTTGAGCTGCAAGGGGAAATCCATGGAAACAGGGTCCCCACCGCCCACCGGAGCTGGGATTAGGTAGGGACCAGTGAAAGAGAGCAGGCAGAAGGCCAGGGCCCCATGCTGTAGCCATGCTGGCGTACAACACCAGCACGTGCGCTTGCAGTTGGTAAGAGCTTGTTGTGTTGTAATTAGTGACCGTGCATCTTGCACGAGGGCCAATTACTTCTCCTAAATACATCGTGAAGCCCACGTCGACATTAATTACTGTGCTGGGTCAGCAGCGAGGAGAACCTAAGGTCACCCTCCTCCTTTCTCTAATCAAGAGCGGCCTAGGCAGCCCAGCAAACAAGAAGCCAATTGCTGTGCAATTGCACGCACTAAATCAAACAGGGATGGGGAGGCCGGGAGAGGAGAGGGAGCTGGTTTGGGGCACCGGGGAAGGATGCTAAGGATGGGTTCTGCATGAGGAAACAGAGCCAAGCAAGCAGGAAATGTTGGACAAGGCTGCTAGAAATGAGCGGCCAGTCAAGCATCGAACAAACCAAGTGCTGTAGAAAATGACAGCAGCAATGATATTAATATAAATATTGATATTAATGTCAGAGAGTGGAGTAACCATTCAGCAGGCCATCCACATTTGCGTCAGCTGCCACGCAGCATGATGCAGGGCGGGCCAGCATCCGACCAAAGCATCTCTCCAGCTTGGGGCACAGGGACTCGTGCAGGGGCACATCTCCAGCATGAAACACTACAGAGACAGACAGAACCACACCTCCATCTCCTTCAGCACGGGGTGGTCTTCTATCCCTGGGAAAAGAACCCGCATGGCGTAGGTGCGGTAATCCAGAAAGGGGATGCCAGCCCCATCCAGGTCATTGGTCAGCTCATTAATGTCAGTCTGCAGCTCAGCAAAGGCTGGGGAAGGAAAAGCAGAATTAACTAACACATCCCAGGGTCCCAGGACACAGCATCGGCACCCAGCCTCCACCACACCCCCCAGCACCCCATGGGTGGGACTCTCCAGGGGTGAATCGGTTCCACATCCCTCCCCCAGGCAGGCTGTGGTCACTGTCCCCATCTCACAGATGGGGAAACTGAGCTGCGGAGGGTGGGGATGACTTCCCAAGAATAAATCAAGTGGCAGATTTGGGAACAGGACCACTGGGTGTCAGGGGGCTCAAATCCTCCCTGATCAGCAGTCGCAGCCTCCCAGGGATGCTGGGGGCAGCTGGGAACAGAAAGGCTTGAAGAAAGCCAGAGCTTCTGCAGGAAAACATTAGCCTAAACCACAAGAATGTCCTCATTTCTTTTTGACCTAAATACTACTTGAGAGAAGAGCTTGAACACACCCACCCCAGCACCTCCCGATCGGAGCAGAAGCAGCCGCGACTCCCATGGGAACGCGATGCGGGGGGGTCCTGAACCTTTAATTGTACCTACAGGGAAAAGCTGACGGGAGAGGAGTCCTGGAGATGCACCAGGGAAAGGGGTTGCAGGGGGGAGAAAACCCTCAGAAAAATCAAATTAACGGCACTTTAAAGGGAGCTGAAAGCCAGGCAGAGAACTGCAGGCTCGTCAGCCTGATGAGAAAAAACAAACCGTCAGCTTGAAAGGCATGCTATCTTATCTGTAACTAGTGGGACTAGAAAAGAGAAAAGGCAGGGAAAAGATTGTGCCTTTTAATTAAAAGCAGATCCTTTTATCTGCCAGCTGTGGAAGACAAGACACCAAGCCCTCCACCAGCTCCCTCCCCTCTCCCTGTCACCAGTGCCATCCGCAGGCATGTGTAGGGATGGGGACTTGGGGGAGTAAAGGGTTTTTCTTTCTTTCCTCTTTTTATTATCTTGGTTTTGGTGCCTGCTCCTTCCACAGCGCCTGGGCTGGTTGTGGCTGTGGCTGGCAGGGTCGGGGCCTCAGGAGCCAGCTCAGGGGCATAATGGGCAATTAGGTTTTATCAGCAGGATCACACAAGGAATTCTGTCCAATTTCACAGCATACGTCTGTCACATAATGAGGGACCGACTGCCCGCTCACAGGCAGCCCTCGCTACCCTCCTCGCTCTCTTTTCTCCCCTTTGGAGAAACAGAGGGGAATTTCTTAACTGGAAAAATCCCCAAATCCCACCCAAAATGAGTTTGCTTCCTCTGACAAAGCAGCTTTGCCCATTCCCTCTCTGGAAGGCAGTGGGGAAAGGGTGGGAGCACACTGAGCCTCAGGATGGCACAAGACCCTCCAAGACCCCCATGTTAAGGGCACAGGGATCCCTCACCTTCTTTGCACTCCAGGGCCACCCGGGATTCCAGGTTGTCCATCTGCAGCTGGAGGCGTTTCAGGGTCCGGTCAGCATCCCGGGACTTGCGCTTGTAGGCAATGAGGACGATGATGATGATGAGGAGGAGCAGACCACCCCCGCCGCCAATCCCGATGATGGCAGGCAGGGTGAGCAGGCTGTCCGAGTAGATCTGCAGCGTCCCCGGGGAGAACTCGAACCCTCCAGCCTTGATCTGCACCATGGTGGGGGAAAAAATGGACCTGGCGTCAGAGGTATGTGCCCAGGGCAGCCCTCCCCACTGTGCCCACCGTGCTGGGAACTGGGGGATGACTCCCAGCCCAGAGGAAAAAGGATGTGGAAAAATGCAGGGATGGCAGGAGCTGGTCCGGAGCAGTGCAGCGCGCTTTAATGGGATGCAGGACACATGCTGCCAGTGCACACATGGAGCGGGCAGAGAGTTTGATATCTCATTCAGACAACATTACAGTAACAGATGGGATGTGAAGTGAGTTCCCCCATGGGTGAGGAGCCTGAGGGGGACCGTGCTGGGTCCCTTTCAACCTGGCAGAGTCCTGGAGCGTGAGCACCGCTGCACTACAACCCCACAAACAAAGGAGCCTTCCTTAGGGTGTGAGCCAGCACCGGGGGGAACGGGTGGGAACCCCACCTCCGCCTTGGTACAGCTGTGCCTTGTCATCCAGTGGGGAAGGGAGGCTGTTGGCAGGGCACAGGAATGACTGGCTGAGCATGCTGGGGAGGGGACGAAGTATTTGGTCCTACCAAACATGTAACTGGGGAGAGCGATGCCCAGGGAGCAGGAAGATGGCTCCTGAGGATGCTCTTGCATGTGCACCAACTATCCAGTCCTCATTTGAGGATGAGCACACAGCAGGGCTGGTGCTGGGATAAAGGCTGAACCTCTGTGACATACGGACACGAGAAGCAAAGGCACTAGTGTTAGCATTTACCGTGACTTTATGCTGGCCGGTGAGGTTCGGGGACTCGCAGAGGAGCTGGGTTTCGGAGACGGTCAGGGTGCAGGGAGTGTCTCCGATCAGCACCGTGTAGTTCAGGCGGGAGTTACCAGCAGCCGGTGGAAGCAGGTTCCTGCCCTTTGAGGGAACAAGGAACGAGATTGTCAGTTCTCATGCAATGGGGAACATTAAATAAACCCACCATAAAGCAAATTCGTGCTCTCGCAGTGCAGGACTTTGTCCCAGGAGAGACAAAAAGCCACCTCCACAGAGGGACACGTCCATACCCCTCTGCCCGGGGATGCACACTGCCCTACCTTGAGGATGAGGGGAGAGCTGGGCTTCAGCTCCAGCATCCCCGTGGGGCTGAGTGGCTCAAAGACAGGGTCCGGGTAGTAGATGAAATTGGTGGTGTTGATGATCAGCAGGGTCTGGACATTATCCATGATGAAGCCGATCTCATCTGGGCGGTCACCAACCTCCGGAGGGCTCCGCACGGGGTTGTCGATGGAGGGCGCGTAGCACACCATGGTGGTGTCATTGTAGACAGTGCAGTTCTGCAGGAGGCACCGATCAAGGTCAGACCCAGCTCCCAACGGAGAGGTCAGGAGCAGAATGGACCCCACAAGGATCTCCTGCAAGCAGTGGCTCTGGACATAGGATTTAGACTTTGGATCTCCTGTCCTGTGTTACATCAACTGGTGCCTCATCCCACCCTGGGGCAGAGAGAGACTCCGCTCTGCAATGGATGTGCGAGGGGTGGTAGGTGGGAGCTCGCTGGGGACAGGCTCTTTCTGTCACTATCCTGCAGACAGCCCACAAACCTTTCATCAGTTTTGCACGCTCAGATCTCAACCCTCTCCTCGCAGCACCTGGTGGGAGGCTCTGCAGGGAGATCAGTGACTCTCTTTGGGTGGCAGCCCCTGGACCTCAGCCCTTCCACATCATCACACCTGATGGGCAAGGGATGTGCTCTGTGCCCTGCGTTGCAGAGGGACAGCATCCCTCCTCCTTTTGCTCTGTCCCTTGCCCCAGTCAGCACCACTTACGTTCTCCCTTTCAGAGCTGCAGTACTTGGCCCGGATCCTGGGCTCCTTGATGGTGGCCAGGTTGGTGCCGGTCACAGTCAGCAGTGTCCCACCGCTAAAGACATGGAGACAAAGGGCTAGGAAAGGCAATTTGGCACTGGATCCCCATCCCCACCAGCCAGATTCCCATCTGCCCCAGCCTGGGTGAACCACAATGCCCCGGGGGCTTCTTATCCCACCCAGATGTCACCATGGCTGGCAGGATCTGGCATGAACCACTTTCAAATCATCTCCTGATTCCAGGGGCCAACTAGAGATATAAAAGCTGCTAATGAACACTAACGTCCCACCCTGTGTCCAGGTTTGGGGTCTGAAGGTAGCTCCCAAGCTAAAGGAGACCAGGCATCCGCAATGGGAAAGCATCCTGAGGAGGAGGAGGAGGTCCTCTCTGCCACTCCCTTCACCACCACACAGGCAGCGGGTGGCAGGGCAGGCTGAGCTCTGTCGTGTTTTCTCCACGGCTTGGTGTGAAAAGCCTTGTGGTCCCGGAGAGCTTGGCCATGCCCCTGGGGAGATCGTTCCTCATCAACACCCTGGGGAAGGTTTCCCTTGGCGCTAGCTCTTAATGGATTCCTTCGCCTCCTCTCCAGCCAATTCAAACCTTTTAGAAAAATATGTAAACATTTCAAAAAAAAATCCCCCGATGGGAAATATTTTAATTTTATTTGCCGCCGCCAAATGTCAAGCTGAAATTAAGCAGATCCAAAGCGCTCTCTGCTCTTGCCCCCTGCCAGGCTGAGCACTGCAGGCCAGGAGTTAGCGGGGCCCCAGTGCCAAGCCATTGCTCACACTCCTCTCACCACATCTCTGGAGCATGGCCCGGCAGCTATTGCAGCAGCAGTGAGATGTATCCATCAGGAGGGAGGGATCTGTGTGGAAAACAGCCCCCCCCACATTCCTCAAGCTCCCTGCAGGTACCCCACGATTCACCTGTTGATGCTCCACTCAGGATCGATCTTCTGGATGGTGGGGTCCTCCGTATAATTGTACTTGACCTCTGGGTTGCTCAGCTCTGCCCGGTTGATGTTGATGAGGATGGGAGAGCCTCCAGGGGTGTGCCCAGGGGGGGTCCTGCACCGGATCTCACGGGCGCTTCTCCTGGGGCAGAAAGACACAACCTGTCAGTGCCTGAGCAGGAGGGAGGCGAGGGCGGCCGGGGGTGGCCCACGCTGCCTGTGAGCCCC